TGCCCTCTGCACGGTGGCTTTCTTAGCTTTCCCTCATATTCTCTGTTGGCTGCTCTGCATCCCACGAAAGCTCTCTTTTGCAGCCGCAGCTAGCTGGGTCTGCACGATTTCCATCGTAGCTGCAGTTCTGATCGTCATGATCGCGCTTGGTGTCGGTGGACCACAAGCTCCGCCAGGTTTCGAGGCCAAGATAGTTCTGGTCGGAAAGCCTAGCTTTGTCGAGGCTGTCAATGCTCTGCTCAATGTTGCCTTTGCTTTCGCGGGAAACCAAAGCTTCATAAGCGTCATGGCCGAGATGCGAGACCCATCCAAGGACTTCGCCCCGGCTCTTTTTATGCAGAAGTCCTTCGAGGTCGTAATTTACATCGTGGTCGCCTGTGTCATCTACGGCCTCGCAGGCGATGCAGTTACATCTCCTGCGCTTGGTTCTGCGCCAGAGTTGACAGCTAAGATTGCCTACGGCATTCTTATCCCTTCCGTGCTGGGAACTGGCCTGATAATCGGTATTACTGCCATCAAGTTTATGGTACGATCTCTTCTCCCGCGAGAAAGAAGACAAAGCTAACGTCAATATAGTACATCACTCTCATGCGTAACATGAAGCCCGAGGCTGTCAACGTACACAACGCCTTCACCTGGTCCCTTTGGATCGGCCTCGGTGCCCTCTTCTGGATCGTCTCCTTCGTCATCTCCAACGCGATACCCATATTCTCGTCCATCCTCAACATTTCGTCCGCCATCTTCATCTCGTGGTTCACCTTTGGGCTCACGAGCATTTTCTGGCTACATCTGAACTGGAAGACACAATGGAGTTCACCACGGAAGAAGGCCGTAGCCGCTGTCAACTACGGCATCATGATGGTGACGTTGTTCCTCATGATAGGAGGACTGTACACATCATTGAAGGCGCTTATTGACATCTATAATGATCCCAACAGCACTTTGAACGGACCGTTCACTTGCGCGGATAATAGTATATTCTAGATGATATCACGTAGTCGAAACGATAGTCTATCACTTCACGCCCACGTCCTTGCTACACACGATCAATGGCGAGTTTTTCCCAGCCTGATTCCATATGTAATGGAGTTTGATTCGAGGAACCTCTTTGTGATGGACGCCGCTTCGAAAGAAGTACCGGCCACTTGCAGAGCGGAGGCATTCGCGGTTGTAACTCCAGGCCCTGCCCCAGAACGATTAGACTGGTGGAGCCCTCACCTGTTAGTATGCGTGTGCTGTCCAAAACCATTGATGCCTAGCTCAATCACATCGCCGCATGCATACCTGCCTAGGTCAAGTACCGCAGATGGCAGACCGAATGGAGTTGTCGCGGCGACAAAATTCTCGCAACCCGAAATGAAGAGAAAGGACTAAGACAGTTCGGGTGAGGCCGATTCTGTGTGAATCGCGATGCGCACCACAATTACCAATACTACCGAGTAAGGAACCTTGGCGATAGGACAGAAAGCTGAGTCGGTAGAAGAGCCTCATGGAGCGGATGCCTGTTCCGATGGTAGAATGCCGTAGTGTCTCCGATGGAATTGCCGAAGGCATTTGTAGGCCTTTTGTCTTGTGTATGCATAGCAGTACTTACTGCGCATTTAGTACGTGCGTCTCCACTCAATGCCATGAGAGTATCTCAACGATCCCGTGTATCGTGTTCCGTGATCAAAGTGGGAAGGAGAGGATTTCTGGGGGCCAAAACACCGGGGTTAGTCTGAGCCCCAGACTCAGAAATGCCGTTGGGGTGTGCCTTTCCTGCACCCCACAGCATCGCCCAGATTGCCACACTAAGAGGCATCTGGAGGTCTGCGGGTAAACATCGGGTCGCATCTGTCCAATAGCAAACCTGATCGTGCGTGCTTCTCCACCTCCCGAGAAAACCAACGAGCGTCACGATGTCATGATCCCCGCAAAACTCCATCCTCGGTTCGGACCATTTTCATTTTTGGCGTGCAAAACCGTCATACCCCGGATTCAAGGACGGAGCGGCAGATGTCTAGTCGCGCTGGACGACACGAACTTTATCCCCCGAGACGAGGCCACCGAGCGACAGCGAGCTAAGGCTTGTCACTATAAAGCATGGCTGAGGTTACCGATTGCTTGGGCTTGATCCCATCTGTCATCGCTTGTCAAGATGTTGCGCAACTCTCTAGCGGCCGCGCTGTTCCTCGGCCTAGCAGCTTCCGAAGCTGCTACGCCCACCGCTCAGACGAAGAACGGAACCTATGTCGGCACACACTCTGCCGAATATGATCAGGACTTCTTCTTGGGTATTCCGTATGCTCAACCGCCCGTTGGGAGTCTTCGCTTCAGAAACCCTGTCAGCCTCAATGCTACTTGGGATGAATCAAAGCCGGCGACGCAGTACTCTACTGAGGTACATACCTTTGCCTGACGTATAACACATGGCTAACAGACTTTGCAGTGCTACGGATATGGGTCTGATCAATGGAACTACCCGGTAAGTTTCGAACAAACTAGATAGCCAGTTCGGATGCACTGACCTGGTTTCCTTATGTTAGATATCGGAAGACTGCCTGTACCTGAACGTTATCCGCCCGGCAGGATGCAGTGCAGAGGACAAGCTTCCAGTCGCATTCTGGATCCATGGAGGCGGTTTCTTCCAAGGAGGAGGTATCGATCAGCGCTACAACATGTCCTTCACCGTGGAGAACGCCCGGAAGATTGGAAAGCCCATCATTGGTGTTACCATCAACTACCGACTATCTGCCTGGGGTTTCCTGAGTGGAAGTGAAGAAGTCAGGGACACTGGCAACCTCAATCTCGGCCTGAGGGATCAACGCCTGGCACTGCAATGGGTACAGGAGAACATTGAAGCTTTTGGAGGTACGTTTTTCTATTGGGACACTTGAAGCCCATGAATTGACAGAAAACAGGTGACCCAGAGAAAGTTACCATATACGGCGAGAGCGCTGGTGGAGCGTCTGTTGGCTTCCACTTGACAGCCTACAGTGGACGTGATGACAAGCTCTTCCGTGGTGCTATCTTGCAGAGTGGTAACCCTGTTAACTTCGGCCGTCTTCCCGACCCAGCAGTAGGATACGCCAACATGTACAACGAGCTCACTCGCCGAACAAATTGTGCAAACACCACCAGCCCACTCGAATGCCTCCGCCAGCTGCCCGCAGAGCAGCTCAACACTGCACTCAACACGACAACCCCGACTTTCAACATCACGAATTTCATGCCTTGTCTGGATGGTGACTTCATCCAGAAGCGCACTTCGCTCCAGCTGAACACAGGCGAGTTCGTTCATGTCCCAATCATTTCGGGTGCCAACTCGGATGAGGGCTCAGCCTTCAGCCCTGCGCCTGTGAACTCCACCGAGGTTCTTCGCACCTTCATCATGGCAGACGAAGTCCCTGCTAACCTGACTGAGCAACTACTTGCAGCGTACCTTAACGATCCTTCGGTCAACGTGATTCAAAGCTTGGGCAACCTCACGCTGGGCCCTGAATGGGGACCGGAGTATCGCCGCTCAGCGTCCTACTTTGGTGATCAGGTCTTCATCGCCAACCGCAGGTTGACCTGCGAGACATGGGCTGCTGCCAACGTTTCTGCATACTGCTACCGTTTCAACGCCATCCCGGCTGGCCTTCCCGCCGCAGTCGGTGTCACACATTTCCAGGAGGTTTCTTTCGTGTTCCTCAACCTACAGGGTGTCGGCTACCTGCCTGCTGCCGCTCCTCCGTTCGAGAACAAGACAGAGAGCTACCGCGATCTTTCCAGGTTCATGAACAGCAACTGGGTCAGCTTCATCCACGACCTTGACCCCAATGCATGGAGGGAGACGTACGACTACAACGGAACAGAGGCCATGTGGGCTCCGTACGATAACGCCAACCCAATGGACATGGTCTTCGACGCCAATGTCACCAGTTACTTGGAGCCGGACACATACAGGAAAGAGGGTATGGCGCTGATCAACGCCCATAACTATGATGTATATGGTCGATGAGCAGCCACAAGCTGTAGTATATAGCGACTACCGTACATAACTGCACATAATCACTCCGAATTAAGGAACCATTCAATTATTTCTCGTCCCTTGTGAATCTGTCTGTCGTATGCTCACATAGAACAGCGAGTCATCTTAGAGTGAAAGCCATTTGGTCGCCTACACCGACGCACACGCGTTACTGTGATCTTATACGAAGGACGCGTTGGATGTCTCGCCTGACGCCCTATAAGGATTTAGAACCTTGTCAAGCCTCAGCCTTGGCTATAGAGCGGAAAGTTGATCAACGTAAGCTGACCTGAGACGGACGAAGGTTGCTTCGCCTGCGCCACGGCCCGTTAGGCCTCCCGACTACCCTAAGGCAAACGTGCGAGTTCAGCTCAGCCATCATTTCCATAGGCAGAGACGAAGCCCCAAGCCATAACCCTCCGAAAAGTGGAGCAGGGATGTCTGCGACATACGCCCCGCGTCGCAAGATGGTCCATATTGGGCATACGCGACTCGACATGCGACTCCTGATTTAGAATTGCAAGCAGTGCGTACAGAAACAGGCGATGATGGATGAGTATGATAATGGCAGTGCAAGCCACCTTGATTGTGTGTGCATCTCGAGTAGTACATATATGAGTAGATGAATGTGTCATTCAAGGCATGCTCATCTTAAACTCTTTCTTGAACGCTCCAGCTATTCGACAAGACAAGCCTACTTTTACATCGACTTCTACATACCAAAACGATAACAATGGGCGACACCGAACTCTGCATTGATGTCTCGCCTGAGTGTCCAGTTGATGCTACGATTTATGGTTATACACCAAACCTCGCAGCCAACACTTTTTTTGCGGGTTTCTTCGGGCTCGCCCTCATCGCTCAGCTTTACTTTGGTATCCGCCACAAGACATGGACTTATATGATCGGCGTTGGACTGGGCTGTTTGGCTGAATGCCTTGGGTACATTGGCAGAATTATGCTCAATAGGAATCCCTGGGACAATACTGGATTCATTATTCAGATTGTCATGCGTAAGCAAATGTGCCTTTTGGCTTGGGAAGAAACTGTTGCTAACAGTTGAGGCAGTCATCTTTGCGCCTGCCTTCTTGGCTGCTGGTATCTATTTGACACTTAAGCATGTAGTCATCCAGTTTGGCGAGGAATGGAGCAGAGTCCGACCGAATTGGTACACGTATATCTTCATCGCTTGCGACATCTCTTCGTTGGTTATGCAGAGTGCGGGTGGCGCGCTGGCGGCCACGGCAGACCCGGGCGAGAGCATTGGAGACGTCGGGACGGACCTCATGATTGCGGGTATTATCTGGCAGGTCGTTGGTACGTTCGAACTCGCATGCTTTACCATGAAAATTAGCTGACAACCGAATAGTACTGGTGATATTTGGTCTCCTCGTACTGGAGTACAGTATCCGCACCTACCACCGTCGCGATCAGCTCTCTGCTTCGGCGCTCAGGCTCTGGTCAAACCGACGCTTCCGATTCTTCTGCGGTGCCGTTGTAGTCGCATACACCGCTATATTCGTTCGATGCGTGTATCGCATTCCTGAACTGCTCGGAGGCTGGGGAGGTGAACTCATGCGTAACGAGACTGAGTTCATCATACTAGAGGGCGTGATGATTGCGATTACGGTGGCGGCGCAAACAGTATTCCACCCGGGACTGTGCTTCCCTGCGCTAGGCAATACCATGGGCAAGCAGAAGTATGTCAAGGCCGGTAAATCGGAGTCGGAAATTGAGATGATGACGCCGGGCGAGACGGCGTCTAGGAGGGATATATCGTACGAGGCTTCTAGGGCATAGTCCGAGACTGAAAGAGGGGAGATGATGACTGTTGTATAGTCGAACATCAAGATAGAGTCATGTTAGGATCCGGCGCAAATCAAGAAGGCAAATATCATGTTTACCTAGGAATAGATGGATGCTCAGATGGTGTAGAAGCAACAGCGACCAGTGATGCAATGCGCTTTCTTACTCGCGCTAGCGTCAAGCTAGGCCAGAACCGCGGCCTCTCACGAATTGATTGTCAACCTGCAGCATGCCATCTACTTGCTCCACAAACATAATCGCGTCATTCTTAGCTACGTAGCTACAGTCGCGGGACTAGCTAGAGCAGGATGAACCCGCCCAACCCACCGAACGACGAATCTAGCGCTGGCAATGGCGCGCCAACTGCGATCGGCGGCGCAGCCACTATGTCCGCACCTCCGCATCCACATGCAGAACCGCAGTCGGCAGCACCCACTGCATGGTCGTCGCAAATGTCTACCTTCCCTACGACCAGCGGCGCTGCTGGAAGCCCCAACTTCGGCCAATACTCGGCATCTACGGCAGCGATTCTCGAACGCATCCAAGGGAAGAACGGCCATGCCGCCGGCAGTGCTGCCTTTGAGGCGAAGCGGGCAGAGATCTTGCAGAGTTACGTGACTAGCGACAAACTGCCGACGCCCCCGCCAGCAGCGAGTACGGGGCGTAGAGGAAGAGGGGGACGAGTTAGCACACCAAGTGGACTGAAGACGGAAGTCGGCGCATCACCGTCGGGCCCTTCATCTGGTCGCGGCTCTGGTAGAGGGCGAGGAAGGGGACGCGGTCGCGGTCGCGGAGGACGTGGAGGTAGAGGCGGCAAGCGGAAGCGATCTGATAGCGACGAGGAGAGCAATGTCAGTCGCTGTGGAGTGCTCTGCGACTGTGTGCTGACATGATGTAGAACGACAACGACGACTCGGACGTCTCAGACTCGTACACCCCACTACCCACACAAACCAAGTCCGGCCGAAGCGTCAACAAGCCCGTCACATTTGTACCCGTCATTCCAGAGCCGGCCAAGGGGGTGAAGCGGAGGAAGTCCACCAAGACGCTACTTGCTGCGAAGTGCAAGACCTGTCACAGAGAGACCGACCCGTCAAACAACCGGATAGTATTTTGTGATGCGTGTAGTACCGCGTATCACCAGTACTGCCATAACCCGCCCATCGACAATGAGGTCGTCACAGTGCTGGAGAAGGAGTGGCTGTGTGGACCATGTATACGGGCCAAGCAGTCTGTCGTAGACGGCGCACAGGATCTGATCGCTGCGGAGGATCTGACTATAGATGAGGTAGGTCCACGCGATCGCTCAAAACGGGCATCTTTGCCAGGACTTGGTATACTAACTTCTGCAGAAACGCGCATACTTCAATACCCTCCCACAAAATCAGCTAGTTGGCCTCCTCCTGACTGCTACGATCCGACATCCAGAACTACCCATATTCCCTCCGAACGTAAAGAGCCTTGTACCCGAGACCTCAGCCATCAAGTCAGAAACGCCGCAACAACAGCCCTTATCCACCCAACACTACACCAACTACCAACCCCCACCATCCTTTAATCTCGGACAAATATCCTCAACTCCAAACGGCCACACAACAACGAGTCATACACCGCAGTTCTCATCACATTCGCACTCCGAGATGGATGCTGCAGAAGCACAACTTCTCGGCGAGAGCAGCCACCAGCCGCGCACAACGATAGATCTGGCAGGCAACCAGTACGAAGAAGACGACGGCTACGACACCGACCCACCCGCACATTACCCCAAAGCCGGCAACGGTCTCGCACGAACGCTACGCCCAGAAAGTGAAGATCTCAATTGGCTTGTCGACGACAACTTTGAGGTGTTCAGCCATAGTTACCAGGGGGACGGGACAGGGCTGGGCGCTGATGGCACACTGGATGGCATGGGAGATGGACAGAAAGTAGTTTAGGATGCTGCTGTAGATGCCTCTGCTAAGGATGCCGGTGATGATGAGCTATCGGATATGGATAGCGAGGACGTGGAGCGCTTGGTCGCTTTCACCAAGGGCAAAGAGCAACCTTCACTAAGGGACCTCTTGACGCAGCGAAAGTGAAGCTCGAGAAGCATGCATACAGTAATACAAGTTAGCGTTATGGTCAGTCAAGCTGCAATTGAATAGTTCAGGTGAAAGAAGGTCCTTTGTATTATCCAGCAAAATTAAACAGAAAGCGTGGTATCTCGAGAAGTATAGCTAAGCAAGAACCGGGCCTAAAACAGCCATATTAATCCAGAACGCCAACCCGTGCATAACCTCATTACGAAGCCATTAACGTCGTCACTCATTCATCGTCGATGCCGTATCCCCCCAACGTGCTTTCAGGATCTTGCCACTTCTTGCTCTTCAGAATCCTCATCTTCTTGATCGGACTCGCGGATCGCTGCATCGTCTCGCGCTCACTGGCCTCTAATCTGGCCCGCAGCATCTCGTTTTCTCGCTCCAGTTCGTCGACCCTGTCGCGGAGTTCTGGGTCGGGGTCTTCGTACACCTTGATCTCTTGCTTCATCTGTGCCTTGGTCGCTCGGATGACGACGTCGATCTTGGAGTCGATGTGTGCTTGCTGGTTGTCTTGTTCGTTGTCTAGGGCCGTCTGCCATCTTCGGCGTTCTTGCTCGACGGCAGCTTCCATCTCGAGATAGCATTCGTCGCGGATCTCTTGCTCGAGGTCTACCATGTGGTCTTCGGCTGCGGCCCAGGAAGATTCAGCTGCTTTCCTGCGAGCTGTCTCCTCGGTGAGGCGCAGAGCGAAGATTTCGATTTCCGAGGTAAGGCGTGCGATTTCGGCGTTGGCATATTCAAGCTCTTCGATTACAACCGATGGCGTCGTGCGGCCTGAAGGGGTCGCGCGTCCCGAGGAGGCTGTACCAGGGCGCTTGAGTGGTACACCAATTGTGTCGGAGGTGGATGGCATTCGTGGCACGGTGACCTCGCGAGCGAGGGCGGAGTAGCGGAGAATCTGCGACGTGGCGTTGTAGTCGCCTTTGGGATCTGCCGTTACGACCATGATGGATTTTTGAGGCTGACGGTGCGATTGTGCTTGACGGGCGGAGGCAGGGAACGAATTCGAGAAGAGGAGCTCCGTGAGTTTGCACTGGCGGAAGGGCACAATGTTCTGAGAGCATGTTAGTTGAAGAAACGATGAGATGGGCGGGTACACGCACCTTTGAACCTCCTTGGTTGTCAGACTGCATCTGCATGCACTGACCCAGATACATGAGGGACTCGTTGATCTTGCCAGCTTCCGCAAGCGTCTCACCCGCGGTCTTAGCATTTCGGGCACGCTCTGAACCTGCCAGGTCGACGATGGTAAGGTTACTGCTGGACCATGGATCTTGGCGTTCTGCGTCTCTCTTCTTGATCTCAATGTGAAAAAAGCCATGACTCCGCGAGCTCACAGCATTGCTTCCAGTGCCAGTGACCTTGCGCTCCATGAGACCTGTTTCCAGCACCATCATAGCTTCCTCGAAGCTTCCGCATATGATCTTGGTGAGGCCAGCGACGACCTTTCGGTCTGGACTCTTCTCGGTGCTCTTGAAGAGGAGCGCCCTGCGCTTCACGTTTGGCTGTTTGTTCTTCAAGGCGTTTCCGCTCAACAGGTCGAAGATGCGGTCGTTGTAGACTTCGTACATTGACATGACGATTGCGTATTCTGCGCTCGGGTCTGTAGGTATCTGGATATCGGCTACCGAGGGTGATTGTGGGAGTGTAGACGGACGTGGCATTTTGTTTGACTTGTATGTGCTTCCTGTGGAGAATATACTACAATCCTATCGTTTTGTTAGCACGCGTTCCTCAAGTTCTGCATTCTCCAGTATCAAATGGGGTTGGACTTACTGCCACGGGGGTTTGCGCTCGTGAATAGCGACCCGACTGGTTGTTGTCGCCATACATATTTTCGATGTATGCGGTCGCAGTGTACATTTGTGCTTCTGACACATCTGCATTTGCGAGCGAGGAGTACGCCGGGGCGCCATAGAGGGATTGTACGAGCTGCTCGTCGCATGCTTGGAAAATGACGTCCAGTGTCATCTGAACGAGGCCGCGCTGGGATTTGGTGCCAAGGATCGTGTGACTCTGTGAGCGCATTAACATGTGAGACGCAGACTTGCAGGCTTCGTTCAAGAGATGCATACCTTTCCAGAGCCAGTGCAACCCAGCGTTGCAAGAAGTCCATCTCGGCCGTGGTGGCCTGGCGCGCCCATGACGCCCTCAATCATGGGAACTACACCAGTGCCCTTGAACAGATCCATTTGCCGCGCATCCTCCTCGAAGACTTGCGTGAAAGCGAACCGTTCAACAGCGCGCTTGCGTTTATCTTGGGTTGGCGGTTGTATTGTAATATGAGTTGGATGATGGTTCTCGCTCTCTTCGACGCTGAGGAAGCGCGCACTTCCCGAGTTGGAAGGGCGCAGGCGCAGAAAGACATCGAAAAGCGAACTCGAGGGTCGTGGTGGCGGCTCCATTGTGACTATGTTTTGTTTCTGGTTTGGCGATGCAGGCAAAATGTCAGTCGACGTTGGTGTACCAGATGCATGTGGAGCCGCTCGTGCACGCGCCCGTGTCGGTCAACATGGCCAGAACGCCGTTGCCCTGGACAACCGTCGCGTCGCTCATGAAACGCGGTGACGTAAGCCATGCGATCGCGCGGGGATGCGGAGTACAAAGAAGCTCGCCCTTTAGTCTCGACCTACTCTACTTTACAACCTACTAGCCCCCAACCTAAAATAGTGCAAATTCATTTCCTCCACTATGGACAACCTCCCAGCCGAAATACTTCTCTGCATCGCCGAGTGTAGCACCACCCTGCCAGAATTGCTCAAGTACAGACGCATCTCGCGCCGTTTCAAGCAAGTTGTCGACGACAACTGCAAACCTCATGCTTTCTACCTGCTGCACCAGAGACCCTGTCCAGTAGCAGTTGACGATGCACTGCTTGCTATCCGCTTGAAGCGTATACCCTGGGAATCATGCTGCCATTACGACCACGTACGGGGCGACTATTCTTTCTACCCTTCAAAAGACTTCTTCGAGGCTGTTCAGAATGAGACTGAAGTGCCGCCAGGCTGTCCCTCAATCCCAGCCGCAACTTGGTTTCAAGAGGTGGAGGCTGTCATCGACCTGTACCTGTTGGTATTGGCCTATATGTCTACCGGCAAGCATTGTCATTTGAACTTTCAACGGACCTACCCTGGCGGCTATGATCTTGACCAAATTGACTCGCCCGACGAATGGCCAAAGCCCCAGACAGAAGCCATAATCCGGTCACACTTCCGTCTGTTTGTCTTCACAACTGTATACGCACCACGTGTTTTTGTTGAGCCTCTTGCCAACATTTCAGCTATAATAAACAACACTTCGACACCGAAATGGTCTACTACGCATCAACACTGGATATCTTTATCAATGCAAGGAACGGCGAAATACCCTGTGTTTGAGATGTTTGGACTGCCCTTGGAGGAAAGAACTACAGACCCACTCTTTGATGGCTTTTTTGAGTGGCTGTACGCCCAGTCTGAACCCCGCGAATTCCTCGTGCTCCCTGATGGCTTCCAAGATCCAGCCGGGGACCACCCAAACGACCGCTTAGTAAGGACTTTTCCAGGAGAAGAACGTCACCAGGTTGCCCTCATGCAGCTGTGGAAAGTACACAAGATAATGGAGGATCGAAATTGCGATAACAAACCAGCACGTGGGTATCATATTGCGTCCCAATTCAACCCGATCCAGCCTGGTCTCACTGATCAAGCTACCGTCTATCGCAAACCCCTTCAAATTTCGATTTGGTCTGAACCCCAACTCATCATCAACAATTGGACAGAAGGTGATGATTTCTCATTGGTTTTAGAGGTACCTAAGGGGACGCGTAACGATCACATCAACAGATTCGTTCAACTGGAGATGGGTTGTTCGGGAGAATACAATTCCTTTGACAGGATATTTGGGACTGAACTCAAGAACAGATTTGGCTTGGAATACATTCCTCAAAAGGCTTCGTTTCTAGATATTGACTATGGCGTGTTGGACCCAAGACCTGAGTTGAAGGAATGGGTATAGGTTATGCAACGACACCTTCACTGCGTAAATTCGCCACTTCCTCCTTACTCATCCCCAATGTATCACCGAGTATCTCGTCCGTATGCTGGCCTAGTGTGGGTGGAGGTAGTCGTATGCCTGGAGTTGAGTCTGACCATTTCACGGGCGTGTTGACTAGTTTAATCGGTCCACATGCCGGGTGGTCTATCTCTTTGACCATGTCTCTTGCGAGGACTACTCCAGATTAGCATCGATAAGAAACACTTATTCCGGCAGGGATAATATAAATACCGTGTTCGTGGTTCAATGTATCCTGAACATCGTTGATAGCAGCGTACGCTGGAATTGTTAGCTAAGAACTCCAAGGCATACCGTTGGTACTTACGCATGCCACTTCCCTCAAGCACGTCGAGCAGTTCCTGGGTAGTCTTCTTCTTCGTCTCCGTCTCAATCAACTCCTCTAATTCGTCCCTATGCTGCACCCTCAACGCGTTCGTTTTGAACCTCTCATCGAGAATCCATTCGGGCCTTTCCAACCTGTTGCACAAGACTCCATACAACCTATCGTTTCCACCTCCCAGTAAGATATCTCCATCCGCCGTCTTGAACGCCTTGTACGGTACAATCGATGGATGCGAAGTTCCCCAGCGTCCAGTGTCGCGTTTTCCGCTAATAAGAGTGGAGCTGGCAATATTGGCCAGGGTGGCAACTTGGCAGTCTGATAACGCGACGTCGATGTGTTGGCCCTTGGATTTTGGGTTTCTGAGGCGCCGGAAGAGAGCTGCCATGATGGAGTTGGAGGTGTAGAGACCGGTTGTCAGATCGGTTACTGCTACACCGACCTTGACGGGTGGGCCATCGCGGGTTCCGGTGATGTGCATTAGGCCAAATTCGCTGGTTTGTATTAGCATTGACATGGTGTTAGAAAGATGAGTGGGGGGATGTACGCTTCAACCATGACGTCGTAACCTGCTCTGTTTCTGTAGGGGCCTGTCTGGCCGTAACCTGTGATACTGGCGTAGATGATACCGGGGTTGATCTTTGACACGGTGTCATAGTCCATAGCGTACTTTGCTAGAGATCCTGGAAGATAGTTCTCGACAAGAACATCGCATTCTTTCACCAGGCGATGCAAGATGTCTACACCAGCTGGGTGCTGGAAGGACAGGCCTATCGATCGTTTGTTACGGTTGACCTATTACCCGTGAGCCACGAAAGAGCCGTGATAGGGGTGTTAAACTGACACCCAAGTAGTAAGCACTCTCTCCTGGTCCTTCTTGGTTTTCGGTGTACTTCGCGTAAGGCGGTCCCCATGCTCGTGTGTCATCTGGCCAAATCAATCAGTTTGAAAGGCAACCTTTGAACTTGAGATTTCGTCTTGCTCACCTCCTCTTGTCGGATGTTCAATCTTGATCACGTCTGCTCTAACACAATGTCAATTTCTGAGTCTTTGATCTCGCCAACCTCGGCTGGGCCGTACAGGGTCATCCATCGCATACCCAAGATCACCCAATATTTGTGTGCAATATGGCTACTGGAAGTCAGTCGAGTTTCTCGAAAGTTCATTATTCATGACTCACTCCGGCAAGTACTCTTGTCATGTCAAGCACTTTGATGCCAGCTAGAGGCAGGTTGGATGCATCTGCATTCGATGCCTCAGTTGCTAGCCGTCGAACATGGCTGGGTCGTGCCCAATTGGACCGTGAACATGTCAACGTCGCCTGGAAAGCGCGTCTCGAGCTTCTCAGCAGCATGCTTGCCATTTGGATGTGGTGTATGTAGAATCACGACATGTGCCGGGCAACGGAATGCTTTCACGGCATACCTATTCCCGACGATGGGCTAGCTCCAGTTCGGTGATCCGAGGCTCATCGCTAGCTGCAGAACCCCACCAAGTTTCTCTCTCCAATTACCCACCCCACCATGTTTACTGGTCTCGTTGAAACCATTGGCAGTAAGCTATGATGCAATTTATTCTATGCGCGGCTCGGCTGACGATGGCTAGCTGTTGCCGCCCTTGAGAAGCTCGACCAGACGGCCTCGGGAGGCGGCGGCACATCGTTGACCATCTCCGGATGTGAGGACATACTGGGTGACGCCCATCTGGGCGACAGTATCAGCGTCAATGGTACGTTGGCACTACTATACTTCACCTCGTGGTCTAATCCAACCAGGCACCTGTCTCACCGTCACGGAATTCACCAAGTCATCGTTCAAGATCGGATGCGCTCCCGAAACCCTCCGACGGACAAACTTGGGGTCGCTGAAGGAGGGCTCGAATGTCAACCTAGAGCGCGCGGTCTCTGCCAACACACGCATGGGCGGTCACTTCGTGCAAGGACATGTCGACACCATCGCCACCATCGAGTCGGTAACACCGGACGGCAACGCCCTTACCTTCCGGTTCAAGCCTCGCGATACATCGGTCCTGCGATACATAGTCGAGAAGGGTTACGTCACAATCGATGGGGCTAGCTTGACGGTCACAAAGGTGCAGGATGGTCCTGAGGGCTGGTGGGAGGTCATGCTGATTGCTTATACCCAAGAGAAAGTCGTCACGGCAAGCAAGAAGCCGGGCGAGGACGTCAATGTCGAGGTCGACCAAGTCGGCAAATACGTCGAGAAGAGCGTAGCTGGATACTTCGAAGGGTCATCGAATGGAGAATTCGCGATACTGGAGAAGATGGTTTCGAAGCTGGTGGACGAGAGGCTGAAGGCTCTTGGAAAGTGATGGACATATGCTGGACCATCAGCTGCTACGCGTATGGGCGCGTAGGCTCTCGTTGCCAAGATCGAGGGTTTGCCGTCAATGCCGCAGAAGTCATGGCCCCACATTAGTAACCAACCAAATCAAATCATTCAACTTCAGTTATATGGTTGCCTCGAAAGGGGCTCATGGGTGAGACTTGCAGCCCCATTGCGGTGGTGGCTTGGACAGAGTGAGGCGCAGCCTTGGTCTCGTCCAATACATATATATCTGCATGTCTATCCCATCATTTTCGAAAGACACTTCCTACCATTCCACACAAAACCATGAGAGAGTGAGCAGATTGTTGTTTATGATCTAAGTCGGTTATTGATGCTTAGCTCGAGTGTGGCGGCTTTCACATCGATACTCTCATGGTTGACAGTTGTCAAGAGGCATATCATCGCACAATCCGGAGTGGCGGCTTCGAAGGTCTCCTCAACCATTGAACAATCATTGCTTACATTGCAGGACTAGTCCATGCTATAGTGGAGAGAGTTAGGCAGAACACCATGCCGCGGCGCCGACATGCAGACCAACGATGTCATTAGGCCGAAAGCTCTGGACATTTCGATACTTTTTGTGCTGCGAGCCAGTACGATAGGAATGATCTTCCACTGACAGCGCAGACGTGCAGCTATCGGGGTGGCGTCTCCGCCTGTCCAGAACAGCATCTTGCCCAGCGGTGCAGCGCAATTGCATGCCGCAGGCTGGCCGACACTAACAGAATCTAACTCTAGAAGATTGGGGGCCAAACTGATTGCACAGAAAAATTGTGTGAAAGAGGAAGCGAAGACCGCGGGTTACATGCAGGCTTGGTAAGGGATTCTGTCGGCATAGGTCATTGGCGTTTCTCACCGGCGTGCTGCTGCATAAACACGTCAAGAGCCGACCCTCCTCAAGCGCGCATGCCACCAGACGTCTACCCCAGACGCTCATCTCGTAGCGCCATCGCTTGAGCGATTTCTCTTCCCTTTCCCCGCCGATTCCCAGGCGTCTAAAGCATGCGTTGCGACTAAATCTTTGTCTTCGGCTATCTATCCCCGGTACGCACCTGTCATGGACTGGCGACTACTCGACTACGCCAAGGAAGCTGAGGAGACCGCAACGGGCCTACTCTCCTTCGAGAGCGAGATCCCCCAATATCGCAAAGACGTTAGGAGCCATATCGCAGAGTTGTTTGCCATATCGCACGCTCTGCTTGAGCTGAACGAGGCGCTGGAGTCGTCCCGCTATGGCAGATATGCAGGCTTCATACGAACGGACCTGGAGGTTTGCCTCCCGAGCTTAGGACACACGCTTGACGATGTTCAAGAAATATTCACCAGGTCCAAGAAGAGCAGGCACGCTGCGCCCGGTGCTTTTCCCGGCACACCACCGTACGCACTCATCTGGGAAGATGCGCTTACGGATTTCACGGCGGAAGGCATGTCTTTACCCAAAAGATTCGAGATTGTTAGGACATATCTACAGTGCATGCACGACGCTCTGAAGGGGTATGTAACATTGGCGACATGTTCAACGGGATGGCTGACGGGTTCTAGAAACGAGGATGAGGCCGCATTGGCTAAATTCAAAGTCACGCTATCCAGGCTGCTCAAGAAACAAAAGCCAACGCCGATTGAATCTTACTTCAGTAAGCTCTCAGTGCATGGCAATGGGAAGAGTGGTGCTAGAACACCAAAACCGCCTTCCCCCAAAGTGTCTAGACCGAAGATACACCAACACCCCACGTATCCGGCAGCCCAGTACGGGTACCAGCCAGCCCCGCTACCGCTACCTCATCGATCTCATATTGCACCAACGTGGGGAGGCATAGGGGACATACCGTATATTCCTCCCCCAGTGCCAGAGATCCCCCAGTCGCCCACGTATTCGTCCGCATCATCACAGGCCTACTCGAACCAGTCGACGGACTCAGAGCCAGTCGCTCACTGGGCAATGAAGATATTCGATGGACGCCACGGCTCCACACCATCTCAAAGCCCCTCGGAGCCTACTGAGTGCTTCGGGAGGGATGAACCAAGAGTGATTGAGCTGTTAGACACCGATGGCTTTGAAAGGATCCTAGAACTGCCGTTCGAAGCAACTGAGGTCTGGATAAGAATTTACTGGAGGACCGACGACAACCGTGCACGAATACTCTTCCTTACTACGGATCACAACGGCGACCGTGTGAGGTACCAGGTCCCAATCACCGCATTAGCAGTACGGCGCGCAGGATCGTGCTTGCAGCTCTGTCGCATAAATCGTCAAGATGGTCAACTCGACCTATGGGCTAGACTACGCTTCCCTCTATATGAACGTAGGTACATTTGAGTCGCTCCTGCAAACACGCTCTAATGTTCTTTCAGGTATGGTACTTTTCTATTGTACCGCCATAGCTATGAAGCGCCAGGACCACACCCCCATTGCAGAGGGGCTCGAGGATGTTTTCCTGCCTGGAGAAAGGATTATGTTTGCAGGGTAAGTGATTATCACTAGCCTCTTGTCCCATGCTGACAATACTTAGTGAGACTGTTGACGGCAAGTATCTCCACGTCTTTCGCGTCAAATACGATACGGACTCGGGCTGTGTACGGTTCGAAGCTACTGCTCGTCGCGGGCCTATGAAAGACATACCTATCTGGACGGCATTCGTCACGCCATATGTCGGACGCGGTGACTGGATGAAGCGCGTCGGTCCAGAAACAATACAGTTTGAGAAGCTGCATCCGTATGTCTTCAGTGATAGCTACAGGCTACCCAAAGGCCCTACGGGCAAGTACCGGTTGAGCTTTACTTCACCAGAAGGTATTTAAATCCCCATCACCTATACGTGTCCGATGCTGACACATAAGTTAGATGCGAAACAGTTCAAAGAAAACTTTTACCGCATGAGAGTCCGGTAGGCTTCCTGACGAGCTCAACAGAGCAATCCCTTTCGACCAAAATGTACGACACTCTCTAATGTATAACGACATTACGATCAAAATCTATTAACGACCCTACGACATAACGCAACCAAAATTTTCACGACGTAACGACGAGGGCGGTCTCTGCTTTTGGCACGATATACCCCTCTCACTACTTTCTTTGATTGGATGTTACAAATTGACACTATGCTGTTCTTGATGCTGTATTTGTCTTGAAGCCTTGGCCTTTATTTATCGCAAGTAGCATAATGGTAAAGAAAATTGGTTGCATGAACCTTGGGATCGACCGCAAAAAAAGTGAACTTCTTCGTGTCACGCCTCATTGGGCCTAGCGTCCAAAGTCTCAGATGCCCCGCTTCCCACCGAGATTGCCCTGGTGAGACCCTGGACCGAGCGAGTCTG